GACCTTCTAGCTGTGAGGCCACGGTGCTAACCACTGATCCACCTGCAGCCCTGAATTGAATTATAATTAGTCAAAGTGGATGCCTTTAGATCAATATTTTTACATATTTTACAACTTATTTTATACTTATTTGCTTATCTCCGGAACCAAGAAGGGTAAATGTAAAAAAATTTTTTTTTTAAAAACTGTAAAAATTGCTCAAGTAACAACAAATATCAGTTTCAGTTCCGTTAAACAGTCACACACTGTAAAAGGACAAACTAGTGTTTGTACAACCAGAGTTTTGATGTGGACGTTAGTTGTTTTTTTCCAGTCAACATGAAAATTAAAACGTTTTCTGTGATTTTACCAGCGATCACTTTGACTTAACAAAATGGTAAAACAAGACTTTAATGAAACGTTTATTGCTCCTTAATATGCTGATTTTCTTTTTAAATTTTAAATAATGACAAATATCTGTAAAACATGAAGTTTTAATCATATTTTTTGCTGATTCAAACAACTGTAAAGTTAAAAAAAAAAAAAGTGTAATTTTACAGCTGTAAAAGAAAAAATGATGATATAGATAAAATGAAATATTTCTCATGTGGGGGTTGTGTACAGTCTGGGCCTGTTGTTTTTGTTGTTTTTGTTGTTGTTGACGTGTGATATGTGAGTTCATCCCAGCTTGAACAACACACGGAAAATCTGCAAAAAGAGACGAGGAAGAAAATCACAAGTGGTGCATTTTTGTTGGTTGCACACGATATCATATTATGCGACAACAAAAGTGAAGGGGGAAGAGAGGCTGAACGTATAATAGAGGAAGACCCGATACAAGCTTTTGTTGTGCCGGACTATGAGGAAGACTTGACACCAATCCTGAGCCGACACCCAAATCACAGACGACAGCCAACAAAACCAAAAAGATGCAAATATGTTTGACATTTCTCAGTTTGTAAGAGCTTAAATGTTGCCGGACTAACTGTGATGTCAGCTCCTGCTTAAGCTAACGTCATAAATGTGCATTATAAAGGACAAAGCAACCCTTCAGGGGGTCGGGTTGTTCAGCCCTATCAACAGACTGAACAGTTTAAGTTTCCCATTTGCCACGTTTGGATGTTGTCGTGCCGAGTACAATCCGTGACCTTGACTCTGCAGCTCCCACATGAGGAAATGTCACCACATGCTTTGTTCTTCAGTCTGTCAATGATCCTCAAGGAGGGATGCAGAGTCACTAATTCTCCCTTCATGATTAATAGAAGTGTTTTTTTAAATCTGCGTGTTTACTCGGAATCCAAACGGTACGAGGAAGTTTGCTTTGTAAAGGTTAAATGTTAAGCCAATTATCAGCTTCACATGACAGCAGAACATTTTCCAGACGTCATAAAACAATGAAATCTTCATGTGAAGCTGTAAAAGGGAAGCAATGTGCAAAATATGAGGAGATGTTTAGAAGATTCGTACTTCCCTGACAGTGACAATGGCTGATCAGTGTCATAAAAACTGTGTGTTTGATTGCTTTAAATCGTCGCCGAGCTTCCTGGATCTGTGACCGGGTCATACCGTACCTCATAAAGCCACGCCCACCCCGACGGGGATGCGCTGGCATAAAAGCACAAACAAAAAGTGTTCTTGTTAGTTCACCAGAAGTCAGATTCACAGAAAGCTCATCGTCTCTGCATCCTCTCTCCACCATGAAGGTCTCGGCTCTGGGAGTTCTTGCTGTGGCTCTGCTGGCGTTCACACAGGTACCTGCTCGCTAGATCTGGAAATGATGCACCGTGTGTCGCTCTTATAGGAATAGTTACTCAACAGGTTTTTAAATGTTTAATTGAACTGAAAAAATCATTGGTTTATATATTGTTTAACAGATCTCAGGAAGCTAAAAGCTGCTCTCTGTTACTATACTGTTTTATTACAGTTATATTAATGTTTAATTCAATAACCACTGCACTGTACGATGTAAACTGTTTATACGTGATCGTTTGACTGAGGAAACACAAACGCTGGAGAAGCTTCACCAAACCGTTTGCTGAGTGAACATCGGAGCGTTTGATCTGCTGCTGTAAAACCTCATACGTGCTGCACTGGTCACGCTAAAAACACAGCTAACCATACCGACAGCTATCATAGCGGTGACTGGACTAAACCATGAGCAGTAACTATGGAAACAGAAGAACAGAAATGTTGTCAGAATATGTGCTGCTGCCTCTGAGTACTGACTGAAACCGTGCTTTGTTTGTTTTGTTGTTGCATTCCTGATCGACTCTGTCTGGAACCACCTTCACACCGAAGATTGCCATCACCGATTCGACCACCACGACCGTCACTTCAGAAACCACAACTGTCAACCCAGCAACCACAACACCCGACAACCCTACAA